CAATTAAAGTACACACACAATTATACACACTAAAGCAGTTTAAGTGCAAGAAAATGCGGATCGTCCATAAATTTGCAGAAACATGTATTACAAACTTTTCAAAATCATGTTCAAACGACCGGGCATTTATCATTGCAAATGAGATTGCACAATGCCGTGCACTGTTAAATATTGTTTTAAGAACTAACAATCGATGCTGTGCAACAAAATTGTGCTTAAGATCCACTACAATAAAGTTTTTGAAAAACTGTTGGGCCTATTTTAAATCGCCTGATTGATTGTGGACGCAAATTCGTATCAAGAAAAGATTAAATTAAATCGTATCGATACAATCCCGGTACCGATTCCCTATGTCTTAGTCTCCGTCTGTAGTCCAGATGCTGTCCAGATGATGTCCATTTGCATTGTATTGCACGATTCGGTAAAATAATGGCACCTACTTGTTTAGTGATTTTCATCGGAGACAAGTGTTAAACCAGATGTTGAGCGGATATTTTCTAAAGCAGGCAGGGTCAATTTATGAAAAACGCTCTAGATTAAGTGCAAATACAGTGTCACAACTATTATTAATAACTTTTAATGCAATAATATATTGTATTATTTGTTATTTTATTTTCTAACAACAAATTATCAATATTTAGATATCTATTTTCTAATCTTTCATATTTAACATACTGTTTTGTAATAACATATAAAAATATGCTTTTAATTTAATTGAAAAAAAATTTGAGTTTACCTCGGATATTTCAGACAACATGGGTTCCGTGTTCTTATTTTCTATCACACAACGCATTCTTGCTGTTAAGACGATACGAATCTCTCTTCAGCTTATAGTTGCAAAATATGTAACGAATTAATTAGGGCTTATTTTCAATTCTCTATATCATTTCTATGATTAATTATTTACCACGCATCAAAATGGTTTTTTTTTCCTTCATATAACCTTTGATTAAATCTTCTCAATTTAGTTTAACTTTTTAGCCTTGGATTAGTTCAGTTAGAATTATTTTTAACATACGCGCGATGGCTTACATTATGTATACATATAGTGTGTCAAGTGTATCCTGTCTCTATAGCTCTTGCTCGTTTTACCGTCTATTTTAGACAGATAGAACGTCTTCCAATCAGCACAATTCATTTATTTTTTAGTCCTATTCAGATACAAGTTGTAGCAGACGTTCATGAACAACATACACAAGAGCAGTCACAAAAACATGCTACAATGCGAAAAGTATTAAGTTATGCTAAACGCCAAAAACGATTTCGTGCTAAAAAAGGAGCATTAAGTAATAGATCAACTCGAAGTAGCTTTCATCAACTGAACGTCAAAGATTATACAAAGCAACTAAGAAATTACTACAAAAAAAATCAGAAACTCAAGAAGAAGAGTTTACACAAAGCCAAGAAGAGCAATATGTACAACATCTCGTTAAAGAATGTTAAATGTTGCAAATAAAAAAGATATTTT